GAGTTGATGCGGGGCCGTCTAGTACGGGTCGTCGCTGTTGTCGCTCGTCTTCATAGAGCCCGTGACTTTGTTCTTGGCGCTGCGGGCCTTAACGGCCACCTTGCTCGACATGTCGGACGCCTTCTCTTTGAGATCACTGGCTTTGTCCGATGCCTTGTCGTGGAGTTCACTCGCCTTGTCGCTTGCCTTATCGTGGAGCTCGTGCGCCTTGTCCGACACCTTATCGCGCGCCAACGCCAACTTGGAGGAGGCGCTCGAGCTAGCGTCGCTTGTCTTGCTGGCTTCCGGCATACTGGGTGAATTCAATTCTGAGGTCTCTCACGCGGAGCTCCTGCAAGGTTGACGGGCGAGACGAGGTACGATGATCCGCCCGTTGCCGCGATTGTCCAACGCAAAGCTGGACGGGTAGCACGTCCCAGCCATGCCCCGCGTACAACTCGATCGCACCGTTGATACCGCCACGTCTCCAAGCGTCTTGCCCACTCAAGGACGACGCACCCTCGCTTTTACGAGACGGGCGCTAGAAGCCAACGTTCTGTGCTCACAACAGCAGCAAAACGTAGCTTCGCGTTCATGAGCTCGTATCGCAACCGTTGCTTCTTCTCAACCCCTCCCCATATTTCATGACTCGCAGCGCGGCGTCGCTCGAGCCTAGTCCAAGTGTTCCTCGCCCCGCTCAGAATGTGGATGCTTTGCTTGCCGTTGCAGTTAAATCGCCTCATGAACAGTAGCGGCATGTAATACAGTGGACGAAATGTAGATTGATGTTGCGCACTCACAGTTGCTGCTGGGTGTCCTTGCGACTCGACTCGAGGTTGCCGTAGGCCGCGTTGAGCTCGTTCTCAATGTGCTGGCGTTGTGTCACGGGCGCAAACTTGGCCGGCGACATCGACGACACAAACGGGTCCAGCGGTGCGATCACGGCCTTGCCCTCGGCGCCATTGAAGCGCACGATCGACTGGCGCTTGGCTTGCGTGTTCAAGACACGGTGCTACACCACATTGATCGTAGGTGCTGTGAGCGTCAATAAGAAATGAGTCCGTACCGGCGTTGCTTTCAGTGTGCCGTTCGTCCAGCGCTCGAGCACGTCGCCAACGAGCACGACGAGGCGGTCGGCCATGACCGGTGCATCCGTCCATCGCCCGTCCCGCGTCGTCAGCTGCAAGCCCGCATTGTTCTACAAGCTCAATATGTAGATCGCACCGCCAAGAGCACGCGACACCAACCTGGTGGATGATCGTAAAGCACTCGAAATCCGTGTGGGCAGCGATGCCAACGTTGCGGTCATCCATGGGCGCGCTGTTTTCGGGGTAGGTGAGCAGTCGCATGCACGCCTGCGCCTCGGTCGTGTTGAATTTCTACAGACCGGAATCAGACCGCGGAAAACATGATTTTCCGTACGCGAAAGGTATCCCGCGGCAGGTCGAGCATTTCGGCAAACCCTTCAAAGAGAGCGTTCGAGACCTTGGTCGTCGCGTCGTAGAGGCCCATGACGTCGTCGCGGAATGCCGGCAGCTCGGCGGGCCACACGTTTGGGCCGAGGCTAGTACATTCGAGAGGTTATGTGTGCGCGTAAATTCAGGAGTGAAGCGTACCCTTTGTCGTGCTCCATGTACGAAGCAGGGAGCTCTTGCGCAATGTCATAGCCTTCCAAGTGCGAAACGACGCCGGGTACATACTACAACAGTTGCTGACATCCTATAAGCATGGAGTCGACATTGTCGTACCGAAGGCTCTTCAAAGAGCGGTGTCCACCCGCGAGAGTTGGGTACCTTGTTGACATGGTACTTTTGCTTGACGTCGGACGGGAGCGCGTTGAATTCGTCCGCCCGGCGATAGACCTAGACATGTTCATGAGCGCGCAGTCGTCGCAAGATGCATGCATACGCGCTCAACGAGGCCAGACGGCAGCACCGAGACGGGAATCGTAAAGAAGCCGACCGTCCCGCATGCGTCCCGCATGGCATCGAGGGCCGGCTGGCGCTCGGCCTTGGTCGACGACGCGTCGAGGAGCGACGCGATGTCTACGAGGGGCATGGCCGTCGACGTGTTCGAAAAGGCCGCAGCTCGTGTCGTCGGGCGGGCGCGAACGCGTTGGGAAAGCTGCCGAAGGAACATTGATTTTGCTGCCGGGCGCAAAATGCACACTGAGCGACGTTGCAGTATGTAGTATTTAAATGGAATGACATCTTACAAATTCCAGTATATTAAAAAGTGATCGTGACCTGGCGTGGTTGAAGTTCGGCATGGATATCTTGAAGCTGCACCATAAGATTATTACCGGTATACGTTCCGGGGTGTCCGCTCAAGCGCTGCGATCGATGATGCTACATGTGACTATGCATGTTATGTTCTGTAATACGAACATGCTAGTACAGCATACTTATTAGAATATCTATATGTATGTAAATTTTGATGCCAAAAATGTGCGTGAAATAAAAATAGAGGGACGGAAAACGACAAAAAGCGCATTGCCGGACTCGAACCAGCGACCCTTTGAGCTGCAATCAAACGCTCTACCACTGAGCTAAACGCGCACTTTGTATGCTTCGTTGCCATCAACTGCAATCGAGTTTCTATCTCACCAAACACAGATTCTTTTTCAGTCTTTTGTGCCAGACAGCGGTGCTATCCCCTGTAGCATTATTTTTTATATAAATCTGGCTTTATTATAGCTATTTCTACAAAACCAAGGTTTTGGGTGACCGTTCCTGAAAAATAGAAGCTGGATCACGGTTGAGGGCACCGTAGTATACAAAGTGCGCGTTTAGCTCAGTGGTAGAGCGTTTGATTGCAGCTCAAAGGGTCGCTGGTTCGAGTCCGGCAATGCGCTTTTTATCATTTTGGTTTGTTCAGGAAGGCGGTGCTATCCAGCCCGAATTCCATTAAAGTTTTGTAGCAATCATGCCGATAGATACTTGGATAGCTCAAACTTGGCATGGAATGCCAAGCATTGGAGTACTCTACGGATGAATGCACAGTCTTGCTGTTTGTTGAACGTCGGTAGGTATACAATCCTCGTTAGTATAGTGGTTAGTATACCCGCCTGTCACGCGGGTGACCCGGGTTCAATTCCCGGACGGGGAGATCGATTTTTGAACATAGCTCTTTTGGTACTATCCTCCTGCAACATGTCTGCAATTTTATTTTTTAATTTCACCCATTTTACTCGTGATCATCTTAGCCGCACAGAGGGAGCTCGCCTGTCTTCAGTGACGATTTTTCGACCACCTTCACAGCAAAAAGTGAAGCCCAATGGATCGATAAACGACGCCACACGATTGGATACATTCAGTGGAATGGATAGATCGATAAAACGATGCCAATTGGTTTCATACAATAAGAAAATGGATAAATGGAGAGAGGAAAACGACACCAAATGGACTAACGAAGAAGCAAAAATGGATAAATCGATAAAAAGGCGCTAAATGGTTGGAAACGAAAGAAACATGGATATAACGAAAATCAAGACCGAATGGATAGATAAAGAAACAAAAATGGATAAAACGATAAAACGACGATTACTGGATAGACAAAAGGGAGTAAAATGGATAGAACGATCAAATGACGATTACTGGATAGACAAAAGGGAGTAAAAATGGATAGAACGATCAAATGATGCTAACTGGATAGATAAAAGAGCCAAAATGGATAGAACGATCAAATGAAGCTAACTGGATAGATAAAA